TATAATTATAAAGAAATATCTCTATGTAAATATCTCTATGTTTTATATAAATGTCATTCTATACACACAAATGTGATTATACATATATCATTTATGTATATGTTTTATTATAAATTTTAGTAATATTAAGAAATTATAAATAACAATGTATGTACAGAATATATTTGCCTTAAATTCCATATAGAAAATTAATTCTCATAGAATGTTTTCACCATTTTTTCTGAACTTTTATATGCCTAACCAGCCTATAATTACAATTGATAAATATTGATTAATGTTATTGATTCCATTCATGAGTAAGAAAAATATGAATCCATAAAAGCATATGTCAAAACTACACTTTTGCCAATGATGCCAACAATTTCTTTGCTGAATCAGATAACAGTTTCAAATGCTGGAAAAATAATTCCTGTTTTTTGTGTTATTGACACTGGAATGGCTACAACAACACACTTTTAAATTTACTCTGTATTATTAACATTTTCCTTAATACTTAAAATTTAGTCAATCAACAAAAGTATTCCCCTAGTTTAGCATTTGCCTGTTTCCATGATGTATTCGTACCCTGTCCAGTTTCAAGCTATCAACTCAACTACACTGAAAATGGAGTTAGAAAGAGGTATGCCATACCATTCCAAGGCATTCTCACCTGCAATAAACAAATGTAAAAAAACTCAAGAGCATAGATAATCATAAAATATAGTAAAACAACTAAGAAGTCATTTTGAGTACTTGCAATTACTTTGTTTTTAATTTATTTAATTATAAACTTGTATAGTTTCATATTTAATTGTGTCTAAGTTCAGTAACCATATTGCCAAATTCTTAAATACTTACCAATAAGTTCTTCCCAGATGGTATAAATTGGCTCTGTATGTACACACACACATACACACACACACACACGTACACACTCATGTAAGCTTGCAGGGACCTATAAACACACATACAATATTGTGCTCATATAATATCATGGTCAGTATTTACTGCTTCAATTTTTCTAAAATGTTATATCTTATCAGTATTTCAATGTATTTGCTAACTAGGTTTGCAATGACTTGGGCAAATTAATTCATGAAAAAAAATTGAATTGTCAGTTACCCCAGTTTGATTCAGGTTGATACGGATAAATTAGAGGATGTAGACTTTATTTCATTTTACATCATTAGTTAGGTCATCTTTCAGATATCCTCAAACATTGCTTTTCCCCCTTGCAATCTGCTGAAATTATAGGCACAAAGGAATTACCCCCACTGGAAAGGTAAGTTTCCCTACAGAGATATGTCCTCTGTCTGAAGTTTCAAATTGTGCCCTGCTGAGCTGAATATTCTATGAACTATTAAGCATACCGTTATGATAAAAGAGCAATAGTCATTAAGGTCATTGCACTTGAGGCTTCCATTTGAACTTCTTTTGGGTTCAAGGCAAACAAAAATCTTTTGTTTTACCTACTTTCTTCCCCAGCCCAGAGGCAATGTAAGGGAGGATGAGAAAGAAAACCCTTTCTCCCCAGATTTTTGAAAACTTTAAAATCTAATGATGGAAAAGGGCTGCAGCTTAAAACATGAAAGGTCAAGGTAGCCTACTAGAGACACAGAGAATATATAACTTCTTATGGGAATCTCCCAGGCGTGAGATTATTCTGAGATTTCAATCTTATAGTTAAATAGTAATATATCAAAAAGTTGGTGAAAATAGTTGCTTTATAAAATGTTGAGGAGTCAGTCATTTACCTCTCACAAAATGTCAGCAGCTTTATTCACAGACCTTAAAGTTAGGAAACTTGAGATATGAGTATTTAAGAAAACACTGTTCAAAAATAAACCTCTCTTTAAGATTAACTTGGAATGAAACATTACGTAATTTTCACAAAGCAACCATTTGCCTATTTTTAACCTCTGATAGAATCTATATAAAAACAAATGGGTTATCATATTCATGCATCTGCCAGCAGACAGCTACCTGTGTATAGTCCCAGAGGATAGAATAAGAATTTCATCAGAGATTCTGGGAAGTTGAACTACAAACTAAAGTGTCTTGGATTCCATTCATCAATCAGCCCTGAGCCGTTGGTGTCTGATGTATCTGATGCACTGGCCCACTATCTGGCAAGCCTGGACACTTTTGTGCAGCTTCTACTCACTTTTCACTAATAATGTTTTTCCTCAACTGTTGGCATATTAGCTTTCTGCATTGAAGTCCTTTTACCCATATGAATAGCTCATAAAATGTCGGGGAATTGATGGAATGGCCCTCAACCAATAGTGAACTTGAGTGCTGCCTCCTGTCCTTTGGGGGGACAATTGTAAAAGGCACGCTATACTTTTCTGAGAGTGAGCGCAAGCACCAGTTGCCCACACTGGTCAACTTGATGAAGCTCTTCTTCCTTCCTTTATTCTCATCTCTCTTTTGACTGTCATCCCTGCTCTTCAGTGTTACCTTCTAAATGCCACCTGGAAATAAATCAGACTCTGCTTTCAGGGGAACCCAAGCTAAAATACGGTCAAACCGTCATATATGTATTTGTTACACAAGGTTTATCTCCAAAGAGAATTTATTTTTTTTTTTTCTGCACTCTCATCCTCATTGAGGGATAAAACCATCCTTATTTTGGTATGATACGTCATTTCTTTTTCTTCAGTAGTGGCACAGATTTCAGCTACAATTATGCTGACCCCAATCTATCCATGTATCAAACTATGAAGCCACCTCAACTTGCCTTATTAAAGATGTACTTCATCGTTTTTTGGCTACTCCCCCCATCCAAGTTTTTTTTAAGTCCCTGGCCCTAGAAACTTTCTTTGTATATGACAGCATGCAGATAAAGAAGTAGAATAACAGGAGAGAAAACTAGACCACTGGTACGATCAAAAGTACAGTTTTTACAGTTACATTTTGAGGGCAATGCCCTTTTCACGCCAAATACAAAGGAAAAATTCCAGTTGTAGCAATATACTAAATCTGGTAAAACTTACTTATTAACTCTGGAGAATAAATTGATCCCAGCAGTAAAATTAAACCATAAATGTAGAAAACTACAAAACATTTACCAGTAGTAAGTTATTTTTGTTTTTCTTAAGAAAAACTGACAGAACACATTTTTTAGTGACAGGGAAGTTTGTTCTCTCTCAGTGATGCTTTATTTCACATGTCCTTTTTAAGAAAGCATTTATTACCTTATTGAGTGTCAACTATGTGCTAGTGTAATGGGGTTGGGGGGGTGCTGCCTACGCAGCTCTGATTCCGAGGTCCATGGCCTCTCTAACCCCAAGAATGAGAAAAGGAGCCCCAGAGGTGCAGTGAGCTTAGCATTCCAATAATTATTGTGGACCCAAAGAGTTTAGCAGAGAGCGATTTATTAGGCAGAGACAGAGAAAAAGAGAGCAAGAGAGATCTCCCATGCTGCTGTGGGAAGGGATCCAAGGAAGGAATCCATATAGGTAAGGAGCATGGGTGGGGGGTTAGCCCTGGAGTTATTTCCTCCCCATTCATGTTCTCATCCAATGTGAGGAGTTCTTACAAACTTCCTCTGGAGTGATTGATCTTTGACTCTGATACCGGATTGGTTGCTGGGTCCACAACAGAGCTTTCTCCTCCCAGAGCTTTCAGAAGGCTCTTAACACACCTGGATTTCTCTACCTAGCCTGTGCCGGGTATGACAGACAAATAACTTTACATTTGAAACCCCTCTGGTTCCCAAATCCAGATGAAGCCACGCCCCTCACGGACCAGGGAAGAGAAGTTTTTTTCCTTAACACAGTCCCTCATAGTAACTGTATTATGTATTGGAAAACAAACATGAAAAGAAATTTTGGATCTCAAGTTTCTTCATACTTTGGTAGGGGAGGCACATAGCAAACAGGAAATTTGAGTGTAACGTGTAAGGCCTCTATAATGTGTAATGGAACCAAATGTAAGGGTAACACAGCTGAGTTAAGCCACTCTGCCTCTTTTTTCACTCTGCATTTTGAGAGACACATTCATGGCTATGAATTTATCTCTACCTATTACTTTACTTGAAAATTATTAACTTGGATACATAGCATTTTCTTTTATCTTTTAAGTTCAGAGGTACATGTACAGGTTTGTTACAGAGGTAAACTTGTGTCATGGGAGTTTTTTGTATAAATTTCATCACCAAGGTCTTGAGCTTAGTAGCCATTAGTTATTTTTCCTTATTCTCCCTCCTCCCACACTCTACCTTCTAAAAGGTCTCACCGTGTGTTGTTCCCCTCTATGTGTTCATGTCCTCATTTATCTCCCACTTATAAGTGAAAACATACATTATTTGGTTTTCTGTTTCTGTATTAGTTGTCTTTTTCAGAAAAAGAAATTTACATATTTCTACACTATACTAAAACATTGTTTCTTTTTCATTTTATGTTTGGGATATCAGGTCAACTCTGCATACATAGTTCCATTTGCAAATGTATGAGGTGGACAAGAATACACTCCAAATAAGGTAACATTTTCCCTTTTATAGAAGAACGATGTTTCTGCTAAGCAATTATTGGAAAAGCTCCTCATTATATACTATGTACAAACATGGAAATATATGTGCATTTTAAACTCTTTAATTTTTATACCAAACTGTTTATTTAGATGTATGAAAGCAGATGTGTTTTATTACTGATATTATTTATTCAACACAATATAATTCTGAGTATAAAATGAAGATAATAGGACTAAAATGTTTTTTAAGAAAAAAGTTTTAATAGGTCTCAAAATTCCATGAAAGGTTTTTGGTCATGTTGTTTCCATTAAAAAGTCCTTATTTTAAAAACTACAAACCTGAAACTGCCACACACACACACACACACACACACACACACACAAAGTGGTCCACAAAACATTCTCCTCTCCTTCTGAAGGTTTTATTATGCATTGTAATCATTAACTAGTCTTTACTATTAAACTTAAATGGCCAATTGAAACAAACAGTTCTGAGACAGTCCTTTCACCACTAATTAAGTCTAGGGGGGCAGGTATTAGGGATAATATTAATTTAGCCTTTTGAGCTTTCTGGGCAGACTTGATGACTTTGCCAGCTCCAGCAGCCTTCTTGTCCACTGCTTTGATGATACCCATGGCAACTGTCTGTCTCATATAACCAACAGCAAAGTGACCCAGAGGTGGATAGTCGGAGGATCTCTCAACACACATGGGCTTGCCAGGAACTATATCAACGATGGCAGCATCACCAGACTTTAAGAATTTAGGGCCATCTTCCAGCTTTTTTTTTTTTTTATCAGAACCTTTATCAATATCTTCCTTTAGCTCAGCAAACTTGCATGCAATGTGAGCCGTATGGCAATTTAGTACAGGGGCATAGCCAGCACTGATGTGGCCTGGGTGGTTCAGGTAATCACCTGAGCTGTGAAGCCAGCTGCTTCCATTGATGGCTTGTTTTTGCTGTCACCAGCAACACTGTCATGACAAACATCCTTGACAGACACATTCCTGACGTTGAAACCCACATTGTCCCCAGGATGAGCTTTATTCAAAGCTTCGTGGTGCATTTCAACAGACTTTACTTCGGTTGTAACATTGACTGGAGCAAAGAGGACCACCATACTGGGTTTGAGAACGCCATTCTCTACTCAGCCATCAGGAACAGTACCAATATCAGCAATTTTTGTAGACATCCTGGAGAGGCAGGTGCAAAGACTTGTCAGTAGGACCAGTTGGTGGTAGGATGCAGTCCAGAGCCTCAAGTAGCATGGTTCACTGGTATTGCCATCCTTACGGGTGACTTTCCATCCCTTGAACCAAGGCATGTTATCACTTGGCTCCAGCATATTGTCACCATTCTCACCAGAAATTGGCACACATGTTACTGTGTCAAGGTTGTAGCCAGTTTTCATAATGCAAGTGCTGACTTCTTTAATGATTTCCTCACATCTCTTCTAGCTGTAGGGTGGCTCAGTGGAATCCATTTGATAACACCAACAATTAGTTGTTTCACACCCAGTGTGTAAGCCAGAAGAGCATGCTCACAGGTCTGTCCATTCTTGGAGTTATCAGCTTCAAATTCACCAACACCAGTGGAAACAATCAGGACAGCACAGTAAGCCTGAGATGTCCCTTTAAGCATGTTTTTTATGAAGTCTCTGTCCTGGGGCATCAATGATACTCACATAGTACTTGCTGGTCTCAAATTTCCACACGGAGGTATCAATGGTGATACCAGCTTCATGCCTAGCTTTCAGTTTATCCAAGACCCAGACATACTTAACGGAGCCCTTTCCCACATCAGCAGCCTCCTTCTCAAGTTTTTGAATGGCTCTTTTGTTAATGCCCACGCATTTGTAGATGAGATGGCCAGTAGTGGTGGACTTGCCTGAATCTATGTGTCCAATGATGATAATGTTGATATTAATCTTTTCCTTTCCCATTTTGGCTTTTAGAAGTAGTTCTCAAGACACTTGTGTTCTGATGGCAATCCCGTTGAGAAAAAGCTAGTTCTGTTTTCATATCCCATCGTTCTAGTCTTACTAGTTTTTCTTTCTAAAAATATTGCAGTAGCCTCCTAACTGGTCTTGATTTATCACTTATTCTCCTGTGGTCTTTTATTTTCATTGTAACAAAAGGAATCTACTTACAACATAAATATATTGGCTATATCTAAATGCAAGGGAGGCTGAATATTAATGAGCACTGGCATTCATGTTCTCTCTTATCTCCTAAGAAATTATTTCGAGTTCTATGTACCCATTCTCACAACTTCTTTGTGCTTTGCACTTACGACCTTCTTCAGAGGACTACCTTGTATTCAGAAGTGCCAATGACTGACTGCTGCAGAAGTATGAAAGCCCACCTCTCTCACCTTAAAGTGGTACAGACTCTGCAATGTAATTTATATAACAGAACACCCAAAGAATTAAGATGAGGTGTTTTCACCTGAACTTGCACTTTTGTTTAGCTTTTCTGCTTCCCCATCCCCTTTATCAGCTTCTTAATAAATCATTTGCACGAGAATCCACAGTTCAGGGGAACTGAACCTAAAGATGCACCCTTTTTTCCCCTCTGTTTCTGATGCACGAGTTTCCTTGCCCTTCCTTTAACCTGCACCATTACCCAACTTCCAGGACTTGTGGATGGCTTTCTTTCTGTCTGAATGCCATTTTCCCACCTGTCCACACATTTCACATCTTCATTTTCTTTAGGTCTCCATACAAATATCACTTTTTCAGGGATGTCTTTCATGACCACCCTATATGTTTTACCCTATCCCAGTCCATACATGTTTTTCCCCTTACCATTCTCTGCAACATTCATCTTCATCTATTTTTGTTTGCAAACTGTTTTCCACACTTGGGTATACATCCCATGTGTCTCTATTCCCCAGCTGCATTCTAGCACACAGTGCAAGAGCCTGATTATATGGCTGGCATTCAGCACATGTTTAAAATGAAATGTATAAATGAGTAACTATGCAAAACTTAACTACACAGTAAACTAAATAAAATTTTTATTCTATAATTAAGCATTATGTTGCCTGTCTGATGTCCAAAATTAAAGAAATCCTGAATGAAGGATTACCGATAAATATCTGGACTAGTTGTGACTCAACAATTTATTGCAAAATAATTGTCATCTTCAAATATTTGTCATCTACCTGATAAGTACCACATGGTATAGAATGTTGCCTTAACCAAGCTTAGATTGGAGCTGTGCCATATGGACTGCATAACAGTTTATGAAATCACCAACTTCTGATAATAGTACTGAAGACTACTTATATACTCTGCCTGAAACATGTCAATAAGTTGGGCATATTTGCTGAGGATAAAATACATGGTATAGAAGTCCTCTCACGGAGCTTTGCACTGTTAAAAGAATAAAAACCTTTGTGTCATAAAATAACCTTCAGAATTAAATTACAATACAAGGATTTGAAAGACAGTAAAACTTTCTCAATAGTTTTATGGGAATGAGTAAGCTTGGGAGGGAATCAGCTGTAAAGATAATGCTGAGGCAGTAAATGCATTAATAAATTAAAAGAGAAAGAGAATCAAAACATGAAATCAAGAGTGAATTTTAAAGGTAACTTGATCAGAAAATCAGGAAAAGCCATTGGAGACAGGAGGCTACTAGAGAATGCTCTGAAGCCAGACTGCAGCTCTGGGTATATATTATCCTTTCTCTCGATTTTTTTGTCCTGAAGAGACAGACATCCTTTGTCACTAGTTTGACTGTCTCTTGGGAACACTAATAACTATACGGTAACCTGCAGTAAAGTTGAGTCAAGTTCTCTCTGAGAGATACAGAGTGAGATGGAGTCAGGCTGTCTGTCCATTATTATCCACAATGTGAGTGCCTAAGTTTTAATCTGAACAAGGGACTTATGATTGAAAGTATATCACTATATTGGCATATCATATTGACTTCCTGATAATGTTCTAAAGCCAGTTGAGTAAGAGAGAGAAAATGCCACTGGGTACAAATTGTGGCATCAATTCTCTGCCGGACTGATCAATTGGATTTATATATTACCTCCAGCTACAATCTTAAAATCTATAGTTTTACTCTCTCTTCAGTGCACAGCTCACAGCTTAAATAATTGCAGCTCCAAATGAATTTTAAAAGGCTCGAACAGTCTTAAATTAAAAATGTGTGAACATTGTTGTTTTAACCACTCTTAATTATTTACTAATTTAACTCAATGGATTCACCTTTTCTCTTTCTCTCTCTCTGCATTCTTTTATCTTTTTTCTTTCTCTAATTCCTCTAAGAGCAAAGATTCCATATGAATCCTTCAAATAATTTGTAATGATTTTAATCAATAAATTAATATATAAAGAGATTTATAGATACTTTAAACTGGCTTATCAAAAACTATCAGAAATTCTGAATTACAAATTCTCTGCCCTCAGACCTAACTGCCTCTCTCTTGCAGTTATAATATTTGAAAATCCATTCATTAGGCGTCAATGTTGTATAAGAAAAATTAAAAATACATTTACTGAAAAATGCTTCCAGCAGAATAGAACACTGTAGTCTTTTTTGCATGAAATCTTTGTACAAAATAGCAAAGCTCAGAGAGTAACCCAAAACATAATGCCACTTGCAGGAAATTCAACATATATTTGAAAAATTAGGCAAAAGCAAATAATATAAAGGTGATTTTAATGTGTCTCAGAATTTTTCTTCACATTTTGGATGTTAAGAAACATTACATGAGAAACAATCTTTTGTTAGAAAAAATATAAAACGTGATTAATTTCAAATTGCTTCAAATGCTGAGGTTTGATAGCTTCATATGTCATAATTTAAATGGATGTTGTTTAGAATTCTACTAATGATCCATATTTACTGAATATTTACGATTCACTAGGAAATATGCTAAGTCATTAATATATGTTAATCTAAATTGCTTTCAGGAACATCTAGTACATTAGGGGTTCTTATCTCCATCTTACAGATCTGTAAACATAGACTTAAAGAGATTAAATAGATTTCTACACTACCTGGGAGATTGGACTAACATGGAAGGGTCTACTCCTCAATAAGTACTTAGAAATCCACAATTTTTCAGACACTAAACAGAATCTCACTAATGCTGTGAGTCAAAACTGAAGCAAAAATGGCTCCAGTGAGTCAATGGCTCTATGTTTATGACATAAATGTCCCCCTTATTAGAGACTTAGGATGAAATTATTAAGGTCTATATCTGCTCAGAGATATAGACATAAAGGCTATTTTAATGTGTCTTGAAATTTTTCTCCACATTTTGGATGTTAAGAAACATTACATGAGAAACAATCTTTGTTAGAAGATTGTACCTTTATATCTAGTCAGAGCCAGATATAGACCTTAGTGGTTTCATCCTAAATCTCTAATGAAGAGGACATCTATGTCATAAACCTGTAGGATTATGAACTTGATCTATTTACATTAAGTAGGTAATTATGAAGAGCTACCTTATTCATAAAAGAGCTAGGAAAATTAAAAGAAAAATACCTGTCAATTTCCTTTGGCCATAAAAATATAAATAGACAAAATGAAAAAATAAAATAGAACCCTCAGGCTAGTCCACTTTCTTTGTGGGGTCCAAATTTGCACAGACGTATACTGCCTAGACAGAAAGCAGGAAGGACAGTGAAGCCTCCCAGAATAAGTGCTTCCTAACCCAAGGAATGCACATTTCCTAGACCAAAACCAAAACCAAAACAAAATCTTCACAAGATAAACTCTTAGCAATCAACTATACGAAGAAATGAATCATTATGAAAGTAAAATGATAAAAGAATTATATTTTCACACAATGAAATAAAAATAACAATAAAAAGGGATCAAAAATCATGTAGAAAATGCAAGACAATGTCAAATTAGACTAGAATGGTTTTAAAAAGAAGCAAAAAGTAGTCATAAAAATTATATAGTTCATTAGTCTGCTCATGCTACCATGACTGGGTAGCTTAAGCAGTAGATGTTAACAAACATTTACTTTATCACAGTTCTGGGCGCTGCATGTCTAAAACTCTGTTGCCAACATGGTAGGTTTATGGTGAAGCCTGTCTTTTCAGCTTTCAAATGGCATCTCCCATCTGTCATCACATGATCTTCTCTCTGTGTTTGTGTCCAGAGCCTCTTTTTATAAGGACACCAGCCTTATTGAGTTAGAGCCCACCCTCTAACCTCATTTAACATGCATTACCTCCTCACAAGCCCTATCTTCAAACGCAGTTATATTGAGGTGTAAGCCTTCAAGATGAATTTTGAGAGCATGTAATTAAGTTCATGCTAGTTCTTAAAATTAAAAACAAATTAAACAAATCTGTTACTTGAAACATAGATCCGAGTAAATCATCAACCATACAGCATAAAATGATAAGTGATAGGTAATACAAAAAGAAGTTGCAAAAAGACATGAAATTACTTTTAAGATTTTGTTATTTCCTTAGTGTTCTACATTTCTACTGTTTTGTGAAATCTTTATTTCAAAAGTATCTTACCTCATTCTCTCCAGTAATTCCTATGAAAATATATTGGTAAAATTATGCCCTCCAGATTTCTTATCCAAAAACCAATTGAAGAAAGGTCTGAATAAATAGGTAAATTCATGTAGATTCATGGTGGACCATGTCTTAGTAGCATAAATAAACTAGAATTAGAATTAATATTATTATAGTTTGGATCTAAAAATGCTTAAAAACCAATACTATTACAATCTTGACCAAAAATGCTTAAAAATCAAAAATTATTTTAAAGGAATAAGTTGGCCAACAAGTAACTTAACTATTTTCTAAAAAAGAAAATTCAGTGTTATACAAAGAAAGACAAAATCTGAATATAAAATAATGTAATATTCATTATGTTTTGATCTATTTTATTTTCATATGAAGAAATAAACAAGACTGGGTAATTTATAAAGAAAAAGAAGTTAAATGGACCCCTAGATCCACATGAC